CTTTAGACTTTGTGTTTAGTAGAAGTTGCGAAATTCAATCGATGCATCGAGAAATTGCGAAGTACCAAAAGTACCAAAATTGTGGAGATATTTCCTAGTTCTTTGTTCCTTAATAGTTTATATCTTTGGCGGTACTTTCGCAAAAAAGAGATATAGCAGACTGTATTCTTCGCCCAAATAGAGAATAATAAACGTTAATTCGATTGAACTCCAATTGTGGAAAGTATCTGTTCTATAAACAATTGTTCTGGATTCCGAAATTTATAAGGAAGACAATTTACGCTTGTTTGTTCCGCTTCATCGGACGGTTTTAGGTCACGTCGACAAATTCAATGCGTCCACTCATCAGATGAAAAATTCATGTCAAAACATTTCTCTGGTACATTTCAACTCTACATAGCATAAAAATAATAAATCTGATTAAAAATTAATAAAGCTTATTATACAAAATGCATCAAAAAAGCATCATAAGTTAATCCGTTTGGATACGAAATATTTTTTCATTGTATAATATTTTAATTTCACGTATATAATATTTAAACTCTGTAATTTTTTTACGAAATTGGAACGCGTATCGTCAAAAAGGCTGCATTTGCAACGCAAGATTAAGCAGTTGCGCACTTGAGACAGACGCTCTCTTGAGATTTATTTTTCAATAGTAGTAAGAATCTCTTAAAAACGCGATGATCGAATCTATCGCGAAGCTGTCTTTCGAAAGTCGTTCTCGAAAAGTAAACGACTTTCGAATAAATATCTTAGTGGATTGAAAGCTAAATGTTAATCGCCGCACTCGAGATGCATCATCCGCATGCGCGTAATATGATTTCTACGAGCTCGTGACTCGTAAAACCCAATTCATCCCAGTATCTCACGAGCGGCCTCACGAGGTATCATCACCATAAGGTTCAATTACAGGTAGTCGCATATGTGAGCGTATGCCGCATGGCCGACCATCTGCTGTTGCGCGGATAGTTGCAACTACTACTACTACTACTCGGTTAAGTATTTTCTCGTATTTTCTTGCTTTCCTTACTTACGGCTATTTAGATTCGTGTTACGCTGAGTTACATCCGACACTTGTTTTAATTTAATCTCTTACAAACTTTCCGCGAACAGCGTATTAATTTGCGTATAATTATATGAACCATTCGGAAGCCAATTTGCTGAAATTACACTTTCGTAAGATAAAAAGTAAAGAAAATTAATAAAGTTACAAATTAATCACACGCTTTCATACCAAAGAAAGACCTCGAAAAGCAGAGTTAATCGATATTGCTATTGTGAGAAAAACTCATATGTCATTAAAAAAATTTACTTTTTTCTATATTTAAAAGGATTTAAATATCTATTTCGGTAAATCTTTAAGCGAAAAAGAAATTTATTAAACAGAATTTTTAAAAACTGAGACTTCTCTTCTTACTAATTCTCACAACTAACTTCGAATTGCACCGAGTTTTTTTTCAAATAAAAAAAAATAGGAGTTAGACAACGACTTATATCGTTCCGTTAATCAGGATTTCTATTAAGATACCGGAGTGATTAATGTTACCGTCAAAATGTCTCTGTCATTTCCGCGAATGTTACATGATGACGAATCTTCTTCACGTCGTACGTGATTAGACAATAAGTCACACACCCACGTGAAAAATTGACCTTCTGAAACGTGCCAGGATTACTCGCCCAAATTTGTACCGATGTAAATACAAAGATTTTGTACCTGTATGTAATTTATTCAAGTTCTATCCAGTTAATTTTCGACCAATTGTAATTAGTCATTCATTGGATACGGAATGCGCAAGAAATAAATAGAATTAGTTTGTTTAAGATGTCACGATATCTTAAATAAGATGTTATTATCTACGTAGCTTATGCTTTCAATAGCATCAGTTCAAACCGATGTTTTTTTTTTGTTCAATATTTAGTGACATTATATGTAAAAGTAGGCGTGCTTTTATTATAAAATTATAAATAGTCTAATACCAGAAACTAAAAATATAAAATTATTAAATCTACATATCGAGTAACAAAAGTCTACTTATAATTCTTATATACTTATAATAGACGAATTCATTTTCTCAAAATATCGTGTATTAACTTATATCATGTTTTTATTGTAACTTTCAATTTTGCACTATTTTTGTACAATACGCCACTTATTATTTAAGTATCTATTTAACATTATTAATGTCTAACATTTTAACGGAATTTCTTATAAATTAATAAATGTCTGGCTTGCAACAAGTCACATTGCATTAACCGACATTTGGGGTCACATGTTACGAGTACAAATAAATATTTATGTAAAATATAATACATTCTGCAGATTTCTTATAACAACGTGTCTCTCGTATACGGCCAATAGTAATCTCTCATTAAGTAACATGCGACGAAGGTAAAGAGATTACAGTACACGATACACACAATTATTTGTGTGCACAAGGACGTGAAACTTTACCTTCCAGTCCAAGTACGGCATTACAATTTTCAATATCGAGAAGCAACGCCGAGCAACGTCGTCCCGTCCCGCAAACAGGCGAGTCACGCCTTTAATACACTGGGCGTCAAGATTCAGGCGCATGAGAATCGCAGGAGGATCGTGCTCGTGACTTTGAAATTGTTAGATAAACACGAAATAAACCGAGCTGCAAGTTGTTTATTCGTCACCTCCGCGATCGTTTCGCGCGCAGAAACGAGTTTACACGTTTACACGTTATGACGGCCGCGAGGCTCGCGGGACGCTAGGAATCCGAAACTCGCAGAATCCTTCCGCGAGAGAGTCAACGGACCGCCTTTCCTCCCATCCCTCCCCCTCCCTCGTCCCGTTTCGTCTCCCGACGATCGCGCGCGCGTTCCATCTTGCTTCTCCGCGCGACGGCGGCCACGCGATCGAACAGTTTTTTCGTGCATCGCGCGAAACAGGTATTCGACATCGCGCGAGAGGATGAGGACGAGGATGAAGATGAAGAGGAAGAGAAGAGGGGAGGGAGGTAGACGGGTAGGTAAAGGCAAGGTCCTCACTTGCACGAATATCGGAGCGATGCCGATACGAAGTAAACGGAGTTACGACCGAACGGCGGCGGCGCCGCGCGGGAATAAAACATGAAAATATTGAGCCGAGAGATGTCTACGAAAAAAGAAAGAGAGAGAGAGAGAGAGAGAGAGAGAGAGAGAGAGAGAGAGAGAGAGAGAGAGAGAGAGAGAGAGAGAGAGAGAGAGAGAAATGGAAGACACGGAGGATGCTGCAACGAGAAGGTCGAGCGCGAAGGACGCAACCGTTGCTGTTGCTGTTGCCGCGGGCAGAGAGTTTTAAACGTCGCTTCGCTTCTGCGTATTCTGCGAAGCAAACGCGAACCGACGGCGCCATCGCGAAAGACGAATAGCGGATAGAGCGCGAGGCGCCCGTTCGAAATGCCGTCGCTTCTCGTCGCTCTTTTTGTCGCGAAAATAGAATGTGCCACTCACCGTGTAGGATCGAGAGGGTCCCTCAGCGCCGGCGATAATCCACGTGACGGATGCGAACGAGATGCGTGTAACGCGATCAACACTCGCGGAACACTCACGCGTAACGCGCGTGCTAGCCTGGCGTATGCACGATTCACGATATGCGCTCGTAACGGCGCGGGCGAACTGTATCGCTGCGATATTCTACACGAGGCAACGAGCGAAGCGGCGAGGAAAGAAAAGACGGGAGAAAGAGAAGAGTGCGTTCTAACGGACGAAAAGCGCGGGGAACGTGACGCGCGCGACACACGTTCACTCACAATCGCTTCGCGTGGCCGACCGCGGCTCCACTCCGTCACGAACTCCGGCCGACTCGCTTCGAGCTCCGTTTTCATTCCGTATGCGACACTCGCGCATCTCCGTGTAATTCCGCCTTTCCTCACCACTCTCCGCGCACTCCTTCCCGCTCCGCGAACATTGTCGAGTTGTTCGGTAATATTCGGGATCGCTCGGCCGATTCAAAGCGCGAACATGCGCCATTTGATCTTTGTAAAAAAAAATCATCTTTCGCGTATATTATATATAATTTCGAAAATTAAACATGCTTTCAAAATTTAAACCAATATAATTGAAGCTCATCTCTATATGTAACGCGTCATTTATTAAAACAAATTAAAAATTTTTTTAATATATCGAGAAATTATTAACATATTGTAATTTTTTTATTTAAATTAAAAAAGAAAAAAAATAAAAAGTTATTGCGAAGAATAATTTCTCTTTGTATGCTAATGGCGATAATTAACAAATACATCGCGAATTTATTACAGAAATTTTAGGAAATTAAGGTGAGAGATCTATATATAGAAAATGTAAATTTTATTATCATATTTTTGAGTTTTAATTTAATCATGTATTTTTCTTATTTTTATTATCTCCGTTTTCCATGTGCGTGTCTTTCCTCAATTCATAGATCTGTAAAAGGAAAGCGTAACGATTATTTTAATATCGAACTGAAATATTTTTTTTCTATTTATTCACCTGGATATATGCTTCGGTGAGAGTGATCATTTGAGGCAAAATTTGCGTAACATGCAAATCTTGCAATTCGTACCATTGACCCGTAGCTCTATGCAAAATATGAACTCTGTACGTTCCCTGACCAGGTTCACCATCGTGTACTATGTTGGCTACTAGATCGTACGTTGTATATGGATGCTTGGCCTTTACTTCAGGCGTTAAAATATCTCCAAAGTCGACATTTCTGCAAGTATATAAATCAAAATTTATAATTAAAAGTGTTAACAAAATTTTTGTTTAATAATATATGAATAAGAATATCATATACTCACTTAACGGGAAAATTTACAATAGTTGGATTTTTTTCGACAAAAAATGTATTTTTTGTAAATCTCTGAAACCAATAAAAAGATTATCAGATAACAAAATTAATGTGTATGCGTGTGTGCGTGCGTGCGTGCGTGCGTGCGTGCGTGCGTGCGTGCGTGCGTGCGTGCGTGCGTGCGCGCGCGCGCGCGCGCGCGTGTATATATATATATATATATATATGTACTAACAGCATACAAAACTTACTTTTATGTAAAGTATAAGATAAGGTGGCAGTTCGGTAATTTCAAATCGTTTCATGAAATTTTCCTTGTAAGTTTTATATTCTTTCTCAATGACAGCATTAAACTTGTTCAGGAGCGTATACAAATTTACCTAGAGAATAAGAAGATAATTTTTATTTCCTTTTCTGTATTTCTACTTATATGATCGATACTTTTGTCCATAGATTACCAACTTGTGGAATAATATTCTCCGTGAATTGATCTTTAAATAATGGAGGTGGTGGAAGATCGCAAGTGAGATATAAAAACGGGCTCTCTGTCACGGTTTCGCCATACTCCACCGTATGTAACAATTCGCTTCTTTGACTCTCCTCTAATTCCAGCGGAGGAATTTTCCGCGTATATATCCGCATATGTCCCAAAAATGTTTTATAAATTATGCTAGAATCACGCTTTTTTGTACCATTTAACGCCAAATGAAGAGCATTTAAGAACCACGATAAAAAGTCCACCGGATCACCTAAACAGTCACTTGTAAATAAGAATTATATTTTACATCAAAAGAAAAAAATTTTAATCACGCACCTTGTTCTGTGAACTGAAATCGTTTCTTACTCCATAAAACTACAGCTTGCAACATTTCATGAGGACTTACATGCGCCTTAAAATTACGTGGATTCCATAATTTACGCATAAGCTCTCCAAACCTTTGTACCAAAAGATATGATGAATCACCAGGTGGTCTCCTTACATGAGAGTAATTAGATTCTCTCAAAAAGAAATCTCTTAAAGGTGTAACATGCGAAAGCGCCTAAAATATCAAAATCAAATATACAAAATATCAATATATACTTTTATGTATCATTACAAGTTGTAATTAAACATTTATATACTTGTAAAATGACATTGCAGTAATCATTTGCTTTTATATTATTCATTCCCACTATTCCCGGCGAATACATAGAACCATCGATTGCCCTAGATTGTTTGTCACTTTTATCTAGTTGAGCTATTTGCATTTTGTCAAAAGTTGGATTTAATACATATTTAATATCATCTAGGGATGAATCTAATAAGTGCATAAAATTTTAATTAAAATTTATACAGAGATATAGTATATGAAAACATATGTATATATATATAGATAGATAGATATATATGTACCTACCTACGATTTCATAATTATCTGGTAAACAATAAAATTTTAATGTATGCAGGTTAAGAAAAACATGATGACTTTCTGCCACGCTATGCGTGTAAGCATAAGTATTAGTACCTCTGCCTTGAAAATATTTGCCACAAACTAGGCAAGCGTACACATTGATCCTGGACAGCGATACCGAACATAATTTTTCAAAATCAAAATCTAAAAATTGTCGATTAATCGTGTCCAAATATGGACACAGTCGTGGTGCCTCTGATCTTATTTTTATATGTTTTGCATTTTCTGCAATAAAAAATAGAATAAAAAGTCACGGTAAAATGTCAATATTAGGTTACATTTTAAACGAATTATATAAAGGAGCAAACATGAGATATTGCTAATTGTTTTATTCGGTCCTTGTGTTTCAATTAAATATCGACACTTGTAACTATTAAGTATTATCAAAGTTCTTGTAAAAATAAAGATAATTGTAACATCGCCTAACCTCAAACTGCACAGTAAACAGTGCTTTCTCGCGTTTCATTAAGATCATATAGCGCATCTAGAACGTGATTTAAATCGCCAATAAAATTATATCATACAAAATTACATGTACTCACTTTCTATTTCATTATCCGAGTCGCTACCGGCATCAACTAATTTACGTTTTAATTGATTACTTCGTCTATCGGACGCCATTTTTCGCGTATAACATAACAGACACACCACATCGATATGACATTTCACAATGTATGAATTTTTTAATTTTTTTACAACGAGCCGACAAGATTGCGAATAAAATATATTCACGAAAAAAATAGTCTATTATATTTAAAATTTAAACAACATAGTAATATCACATTTCTTATTAGGTTCCATTCAAGCATCTTTGGGATATCTCATATTTCAATTTTGAACACTTTGTGTTGTCTAAATTAATATTTAAAACATATGTTGAAAATATCATTGTACTAAAGTTATTTTTCACGACAAGTAATTTATTAATAAGTTAATATTTTATGCATTTTCAATCAAATTCATAATCCAGCTCAAAACACGTGAATCGCATGGTATATTAGACATTTGTACTTCTTTATATTTTCTACAAATTGAAATGAATGGCTAGTTTAGAAAACAGAATAGCAAATTTTTATTTATTAACATTGATATATTCTTTTAGATGAATATAAATTGATATAGATTTATAACTTCGTTCTAATCTACTTGGGTTTCTTGAATTGTGTCGCATTGAGATTCTATAAAGCGGAAGAAAACAGGAAGAAATAAGTGTAGAAGGTGCAACTACACGTGTTACATGTGTGTGCGTCAACCGGCAAAATACACAGGTGAGATTTTCTTCACGTAACATTTGTAACGGAATATTTTTGGAAATATTCTAGTGCATTCCATTGCGGTGCATTTTGAACGATTCGACAAATAAGAGAGAGAGAGAGAGAGAGAGAGAGAGAGAGAGAGAGAGAGAGAGAGAGAGAGAGAGAGAGAGAGAGAGAGAGAGAGAGAGAGAGTAGAGAAGAAGAGAGAGAGAGAGAGGTAATAGAGGTTGCAGTCTAATTTGTACGGATTGCTGGCCTTGCGCGTGCGATAGTTTGTGATGTTTATCAATTAAGCACAGTTCCGATAAGCACACACTTCGATCACAAAAAAGTTGTGCACTTCTCATCTTATTTGAAAAATAGTTTTTCGTTATCGTTAGATATTCATATTTTGAAGAAACGTTTAAGTTTGGTCTTGCGACTTTAACTCAGTATTACATTTGTAAGGTATATGCATTTCAAGTATTTGGAAATAATATTTAAGCACTTGTTTCGAACTTATACATTTCACTCTTGGAAAATAACTATGCCTCCTAAGAGACTCAGAGCAAAAAGTGACGATCTGCCAAATGAGAGAAAACTCAAACGATCAAATTCAAGTGTTGTAGATTATATGAATCAAATACAAAGGACTTTGAATAATAAACAAAATGCAAATGAAAACAGAGATATGAAGAAACATGCATCTGCGGTAACCGCTTCTAATATAGAAGCAAAAGAAGATGCAATAAAAAAAGAAAAGAAAGCAGATACTTCTATAGCATCCATGCAGGCTTCTAACATAGAAGAAAATGCTAATACAGTTGAGAGTACATCTACAGTCTCCACATTTATTTCTGATAAATTGTTATCAATTGAACAAGAACTTTGTATCAAATTGAAAGATGTTACTTTTCCATCCTCCATACAGTATATTTATAATCCCCTTGAATATGCATCTGAAACACATGCCATGTATGTACGCAAGTATTGCACTGGTATGAAAAAAATCTTGTTTATTGGTATGAATCCGGGACCATGGGGCATGTCGCAAACTGGTGTGCCATTTGGAGAAATTAACATGGTGCGTGATTGGCTCAAAATCTCTGGTCCTGTTGGCAATCCTTTGAAGGAACATCCTGATCGAAGGGTAACAGGATTTCGATGCACGCGCAGCGAAGTTAGTGGATTCAGATTATGGGGTCTTTTCCGAGATTTCTGTGGAAGTCCTGAAAACTTTTTCCAAAATGCATACGTGCACAATTATTGCCCACTTGCGTTCATGGATGGCAAAGCTCGGAACATTACACCGGCAGAAATAAAGGCAATATTTATCTTGCTTTAACTCTTTGTTCTTATGCTGAACTATCTGTATTTTTCAGAGCGAAGGACAAAAGATTTTACATGAGGCGTGCGACAAGGCCTTAATAGATATAATACAACTTCTGAAAACAGAGATTGTTGTAGGCATTGGCAACTACGCTGAAAAAAGAGCACAGATTGCAGTTCAAACAGGAGGCCTTTCAGTGCAGGTAACATATATTTACACAGTTCATTTTTAATAGCAATCATAATACATTTATATAATGGCTAATTTATATAATGGCTTTTTTAGGTAATGGTCCTGCGACATCCCAGTCCAAGAGTCATAGGCAATCAAAATTGGAGTGAAACGGCTATGAGGCGATTAAATGAATTGGGATTACTTAAATATTTTGAAAAAGCAAGTACTGCTGTCTAAACTTTTTTCAATCATTTTCAAACATATAAATTTTATTTAATTATAATTAATAATCGATAAATTGATTTTTCCTTTCAAAGTTTTTTTTTCTAACATTTATATCTTTTATACAAAGTAATTCATAAAGAGGTTAATAATTTTACAGAAAGCTATTCTCAGTATTGTGCTTTAAAGATAATCTCAAATTTGTCAACGCATAATATAATATAATTACATTTATTATGGATATAATGGCATGGATGGATATTGCATTACAAAAAGCTGAGGAATCTTTAAAAGCTGGTGAAGTACCGGTTGGATGTTTATTTATATATAATAACGAAATAATTGCAACAGGCAATAATACGGTAAATGAAACTTTTAATGCAACTCGTCACGCCGAAATAAATTGCATTGACCAAGTCTTAAAGTTCTGTAAAGAAAAACGTGTAGACTACGAAATAGTGTTTCGTAATCTAGATGTAATTGTCACGGTAGAGCCGTGCATAATGTGTATGTCGGCTCTACTTCAATTACAAATACGCAGTATTGTATATGGCTGTGCAAACGATCGATTCGGCGGTTGCGTCAGCGTTCTCGAAGTATCGAAGTTTTACGATTCGAAAATAGTGATACAAGGAAACATTAAGGGAGAGGAAGCCATGAAATTACTCCAAGATTTTTATAAAGGTGTCAATCCAAATGCGCCTGAATCAAAAATCAAAAAAGGACGTAAAATTAAAGAAACTTTATTAACAGATGACAAATAATGTTTCTTATAGTTTTCTTTTAATTCTGGACTCGTGAAACAACTTTTATATATTTCATACATTTTCATTTAATATATTACATGAATATAAAATGTTTTCATTAATTATGAGTTACGTTGCTCCAGCATACAATCTTACCGTAATAATTTAGAGTCTTTTTATAGTTTTTTTATACTATATAATGTACATACAACAAATAGAATAGCACTAACATTATTCATATTCGCGTGTTTTTTTACTTTACATATATTTCATATCGTAGCGTACTTGGTAATACATATTACATTATATATATATATATATATATACAATTTTATGTTTGAAATAAGTATTACACAGGACTCACAATATACTTTTTAATTCATCATCAGTCAATTACACCATGTCTTGTCTAATTCGCATTTTCCTTGATACCATCTAATAAGTAATTGATTTCTCAGTGTGTAGTTCTTCAGCATTATATCTTTCGTCTGTAAAAAAATAGATTTGATTAGAATCCAAACAATTAGATGAAAAAACATGACTTACTATCGAAGGCGGGAAAATTCTTTGAAAGTCCATCCGATTCTGGTGCTCAAGATAACTCTGCATCAAAATAACCTTCGTTTCCGACGTGAAACATGGTCTGCACAATTGACATTCTATGCGAAAGCAATCATTATGGCATTTTTTACAAAGTTCCGGAAGTACTACGATATTCTTGTTTGCTATCTCCATTTCTTCCTCTGCTTTATTTCTATAATATATTGATACAGTAATCTTGATATAAATAAATTTTTACTATATACTTTTTTAGAGAATATGTATAATTATGTTTCTATATAAGAAATTTATATATCTATACTTTTGTTTATATTTTATGCTACACTTACCTCATTCTCAAGGATTCTTTTCTGATCCTCTTGGCAATACCGACCAATGCAAATGTATTAAATATAACTTGCTCGTAGAGCAACTGATTCGGGGGATAATGAGCAGAAGACAGATTCGGCGACATGTTTCCTTCCATCATATAGACATTGAGATCTTCGTCTAAGGCCAGATCGAATCTCACAAGTTCAAAAAAGTTCCTACCATTGCCGAAGCGCTTGGAGACTTCTCTGATCTGCATTTCCTTCATCAGAGCGACTTCCCGGATAGCGTCGTACACCCGATCCCACGTTTTCATCGGATCTTTTCCTCGCTCCCTGACGTATGCGTCAAATGAGTCCTTCATCGAGAACCCGAGTTCAGTATAGTATTTCTTTAAGGATGGGACATTCCAAATCGGCAAGTAGTCATCACCAACCACATATTTGTCCAGAATCTCCGGGTCAAATGGATAATACTTGACCGGACAGAAGCGGAATAGCACATCGCCTTTATAAACATACACTCGCAGCGGATCCACAGACGTGATGACGGTGTACACGCCAATATCGAATTTGTAACCATCCACGAGGAATGGTTGCTCGATGAACTCTTGAATGAATGTATCGGCAGTGAAATTCACGTCGCTGCTACCGCGAATGCGAATGCCCCGGTGATCGTTCAATTTCTGTACGAATCGCTTCGTGGGATTCGATCTGGCGTAATCGAGAAAAGCTTGCTGATCCTCTGGCATCTTGAATGCCATCGGAATGTATTGTCCACGCGATGTCGACAGATCCACCTTATTCGTGATGTAACCGCAACCAGGGAAATGATTGATCCGCTGATGCTGTAGCAGTTTTTTCAAACTTTCGGACAACACACGAAATGGATAATCGTGGGCCCACAATAGATCCCAATCAGACTCGTTGTTGCTCTTTTGGAAGCCGAGTCGTTGGAGCACCGTATACACATGTTTCAGGTAACCGGTATCGTTGCTCTTAGCATAGATCCAGAACTTTGGTCGAGTCTCGTTTATTATCATCGGCCTCTCAAATAAATGTCTCAAGTTCGTTTGATAACGCAGATATATAAAAAGTATGCCGTAGAAGATCAGTGGACCCATTATAGAAGAAAGAATAATCTTCAGCACTGTCTTCATTTTTATATTCATAATTTGTCTTTTTATGGCACATTTTGTTTTCTGCAAATTAGATTAATAGATTCGATTAGAAATTTAATTAAAAACAAGATGAAAAGAAAAAAAAAATTAATACTTCAGTCTATTAATAATTTCAATAAACATCTAAATATCTTCAAATGAAAAAAAAAATTATCTTTCAGTTATCTTTTTTAACATTGACCTATATCTCAATTTATTACGTTATTTAGTAATAAAAATAACTTTCAAATGGCTTTTATATTTCATACCCTTTTGTCCTGATCTTCTTCAAGTCTTTTTTCATCTGACATAGTAATATTTTGATTTAAGCGCGATTAGAATTAATCCGGTCGTTCGGTCCGCAGCGAATTCACTTTTGAACAATGAAGTGCATACCATGTGAAAGTATGTACCGTTGTAACTTATCCCCGTTTCACTGACTGCCTTCCACGTGGGAGAGTCAACCGAGTTGAAAACCGGTTTCTCTCAACGCGACTACAATGTACATACGAATTACAATGTTTGATACGAAGCTATTGTTGAAAAATCATTGTTGGATATAAATGCTATCAAACTTCTATAATAGCGTTAACGTATAATATTTTACGACAGTATACTAATTATAAAACATAAGGTATAGCGGGGTATAACATAAGGTATAGCGATGTACGATATAATTGGAAAATTGATTGTAAATATTTGATTTTAATTAAATGTTGACTGTTTCTAGGTAATTTGATTATTAAAGCAGTTTAATAATACGTTACAAAAGTGAAATTTATTTTAAATATATAAATAATGTTATTAATATTAATAATTCTTTCAAATTGATTTATTATTTCATGAAAATACAAATTTTATATTGATGTATTTCAATTACAATAAAACCTTAATGAATATTGCTATAGATTTTTGCTATGGATATAGTATGGATGAGTTATGGCATTTCATACATTTCGTTTATTATCATGCAATGAAAGAAAACGAAAAAATTTATATATTTTTAAAATAAACCTTCAAATCTTCTGACCGAGATCAGACTTTGACCAAACTTTGATGCATCTAATCGATTTTAATTTCTCAAAATATATATTATTTTATTAACATAAGTAAAAATTATCAATTTTTTAACTTATTTAATTGTAATATGGAAAGAAACATTAAATTAGGAATATTTATTTCAAGTAATTTTGCTAGATAAGTTAATCATTGATAAAGTTAATTAAGTCTGGTTAAAGTACAGTCCTCATCAACTTTGAATTTTGGCGTTAAATAAAGAGACTAAAATAGTCACACAGGACACTACAGCCTATGTTTTAAAATCCTACTTAAATAATATAATGTTGAATTGACCAATCAAGATCGAGAAATCTTTTAGTCCTGATTGGTCAATTCAATATTATGTTACTTGTCGAGTAGAGTTTTGGAACGCCTAGAAGTATCACGTGCTCTTTTCATCGGTCCCTCCGTTCCTTACCGATTTGCGGTCTCCTGTTGTTCCTGCCCTTCACGTCGTAGACTTGTCGTAGAAGAGACATAGTGACACGCGTAGACATGGGTTTCCAGAATATTTGGTACTCGCATCCACGAAAATACGGTCAAGGATCCAGATCCTGGTTAGTAGAATTTTCTCGTTCTCGGATGTTTTTAGCAAACTTAACTTTACTCGATACGCAGAATGGGTCGATCGACCTCGTAAGATGATCGCGCGTGGCATCGGCATGAATGTCGCGCCAACACAATATTAATTAACTACAAAAACTTTTCCAAGAACGAAATTTGATGGAATGATTAAAATTTAAAGTAACTATAGTACATTTGCGAATTTTGTATTAATTATTGTTATTTTTACAAACGTGTGCTTAACATGTATTCTAACCTTAAAAATATAATCAAATGCAAAACTCATAAAGACCATTTTTTTCTTTTAATTTTAATAAAAAAAAGATCGAAAGCAAAACAATTTGAAATTTCAACATAAAAATGGCAATAATTCGAAAACAACGCATTTCCGAATCTATATTCAACTTTTTTTCTTGTTTTTGGGTCTTCAAGCACCTCCCGAGTGATTGATCTTCACTTTTGAAATATTGATTATATACGTTATGAATGTATATATTATGCAATAAAATCGATTTTGTTGCAGCCGTGCCTGTGCAAATAGACATGGGCTTATTCGCAAATATGGCCTGAACATCTGCCGTCAGTGCTTTAGAGAATATGCAGCTGATATTGGTTTTAAGAAGGTAAACTATCAATGTTTTTGAGGCACATCGTATAAACACGAGAAATCTTGCAACTAAATATGCTTCTATTTTACAGCTGGATTAAGTATAACGTAGTTGTAGACAATGCAACAATTGACAGATTACTACAATTTCTACATCAACAGTATCTCGGAATTAAATTGACAGCTAAAAAATGAAAATTGTAATGTCTGGCACTTGCTAAGCAATGTTCTTGAAATGAATATATTTATATCTATGTAATACGACATTTATTTTATACACACTTCCATTTACATCCTATAAATGCAAATAATTGCTTTAATTTTTTTTCCCAAAATAGGATATTCTAATGATCACAACGACTTGTCAATCTACTCGAGCCCATGTCTATTAATCTGTGATAAAAAAAAACCATAAGATATTTATATAAATATCGTAAATTTGTTATGTACTGAAATGAACTGAATTGCACTAAAATGTTTTTTCTCATTTTAGTCAAACTTCAAGCTATTTTATTTTAAGTATAACAAATGTGCACTAATTTAGCCACAAGACAACAAAAAATAATACAATTTGAAATTTAAAGAATTATCATTTTTCTTAAAGTTTTTATTTTTATTTTTTAATTCTGGCATCAAAATTAAAACTTGATAAAATATATATTAGAATATTTAGTATGTAAAGCTGAAAAATCAATTCGAAATTTTTGTCAAAAAATGAAATAAAGGCGCAAAAAAAAAAGAAAAGAAAAAGAACATTGGCAGCACTGCGGCAATGGCGAAGAATCACGTAGGTTACGTTTGATGCGACGATACCGTTCGTGTCCCTCGCCCTCGAAGGCTCGAAGGTATCGCGCATCAATCGCGACACATGGAGAGAACGATGTCGGAACAAGCGGCTTCGCAGACGCAAACGGAAACGATCTCCGAGGTGGACGTCACCGATTCCGGATCGCAGGTACGCATATATATTTACCATGGAACCCACTTGCAAAGTGTTTACCGCAAAGTGTTTTTAGTCGTGACGCGATAAGAATTTATCGGGGGGGGTGGAAAGGTGCACGTATTCGTGCATACAATTGTCATTATCATTTGTCGCGATCTGATAGCCCGACGTACGACTTCGCGTCGTCGAAATTCTTTTTCTAAACGCGATCACAAAAAACGCGCTACACGATCATTGTCGCGCGATGTAGAATTCGCAAAACGACGTTACGTGTTTCCACAGCATCGTTTTCAGAAATTTTAATATGTTACGTGGAGTACTCGCGATTTTTGTGCGAAAGCACATGACGAGCGAGAGATCTTTTCTCGCGAGTGAACGGAATTCGAGAGAATGCGAAGGACGAGAGTTTTGCACGGCCGTCGACGACGATCGTTCGCCGTTGAGCGGGATAAGAGTTTTGGATCTGACGCGGATCGTAGCCGGCCCCTACTGCACGATGATCCTGGGTGATCTCGGCGCGGAGATCCTGAAAATCGAGCGACCCGACAGCGGAGACGAGGCGCGTAGATGGGGCCCACCGTTCTTCCAGGGAACGCAGGAGTCGACTTACTTCACGAGTGTCAACAGGAACAAGAAGAGCGTGTGCATCGATTTGAAAAGGGGCAAGGACATCATTTACGAACTAGCGCAGACGTGCGATGTTTTAGTGGAGAATTACGTGCCGGGAAAGTTGAAACAGCTAGGTTTAGGATACGAAGCTATCGCCAAGATCGCGCCACGCCTCATATATTGCTCTTTGACCGGTTACGGATCCTACGGACCGTACGCGAATAGACCTGGCTACGACGTCATTGCCGCTTCCTTAGGTGGCCTCTTGCACATTACCGGACCTAAAGACGGACCACCGTGCAAGGTCGGCGTAGCGATGACAGATCTGGCAACAGGTCTATATGCTCACGGAGCGATTATGGCGGCTTTACTACAAAGAGCGAAAACCAATCAAGGCCAATGGATCCAATGCAATCTCTTGTCAACTCAAATTGCAAGCTTGATAAATATTGCTTCTAATTATTTAAATGGAGATAAGGAGGCGACGAGATGGGGATCCGAACACGAGAGCATAGTTCCGTACGAAGCCTTTCCCACAAATGATGGATATATGACAGTCGGTGCAGGAAGTGACTCGCAGTTTTTGGAATTAATCAAAAGGCTACAAATGCCAGAACTCGCTGATGATGACAAATTTAAAAATAACACAGCTAGAGTCAAGAATAGAACAGAGTTGCTTAAAATTCTTAGAAGTATATTTAAAAAGAAGACGAATCGGGAATGGTCTGTAATATTTGAAGGGGCTTCATTTCCTTATGGAGCAGTAAATTCTATAAAGGAGGTAAGTTAAGCAATCCTATTTTATTATTTACATCGTACATAAATTCTGTTTTTCTAAACTTGATATATAATTTTTGACAGGTATTTGATGATCCTCATGTAAAACACATAAACTTGGTTCAAGAAGTAAATCATCCAATTACAGGAAAAGTAAAACTTATTGGACCACCTGTGACATATAGTTATGCTACGAATATAGTGCGATCTCCACCACCAACATTGGGACAGCATACATTAGAAGTTTTAAGAAATATATTAAAATATTCTGATAATAAAATAGAAAGTTTAAGAGCACAAAAAGTTGTTCAATAATGAAATAAGTATTGCATATGTCTCCTTTTTCTATATATTTTTATACACTAATAATTGGATAATCTTATGAATCTCAATTTTATAATGGAATAAAATTTTTAAAGAGTTTTGTAAGATTGTAATATATATATATATATATATATATATAATAAATAACAAAATATAT